ACACATCGGGAACCAAGGCTGTAACCCGAGACATCAAGATTATGGAATTGCCGTGCTTTCATGACTACAGATTTACTACCGTTCCCGTGCCGCTAGAGGTGCGAATCTATTCTCTGGTTTCTTGGCACGATCGTGCGACCAACCAGAAGCCTGAGCCTTTCTCCCGACGGCAACGGTCCAGCCGTCGTCGGGTTTATTAACTGGTGGTCTTTTCATTGCAATCGGTCGCGGCGATCCTGAAATATTTAACGGTGCTGAAGTCGGTGGGACACTCAAAGGAGTAACTATGTGAGCTGCTGGAGCGGTATCTGGACGCTTTCGCGTTCTTTCTATACTGCTCGAAGACAATGACAAAGATTGTTGTGAACGACGGGGATCAACAGCTACGGCTGAGAAGGTCCTAGTGCCTGACGCAGTCCCAGAACCTGGATGACGAAAAAGTGCTCTGACGTCGAAATTGGGACGGGTCCCGTTTGATTGATAGGTTGCAGGAAGGTTATGGAGAGATGCATGTTTTCCATTGGCATCTGGAAGGTTCACCCGTTGTTCTGCGACAGCCGTCCATTCTATCCAACTTCTACCACGAGCCAGTTTACCGACGAGGGTTGATTGGCCTGGGCCGGACAGGAAACCTCGGCTTGAGACAATAACTAAGCCTCGTCGGCATCGTGTAAGCATGACGTTCATTCGCTGGTCAGAGCGCAAGAATCCGGGTTCCCGACCTCGGACGACCGAAACTAAGACGATGTCTGCTTCGTTTCCTGTACATATATCATAAGCCAATGTTTGTATATCCACTGTAACATCCGAATACCTTGAAAGCTGTCGACATTGAACACCCTCTCCCACGGAAGGTTGTTGTTCTGGAGTTCTCTCTCTATAGCGGCTCTTTGCGCGTCGTACGGAGTGATAATGCAAAAGTTACGGTCTTTGTAATACAGCTTGACAAGATGGACGATCGTGCGGACCTCCGAGGCGTTCTAAATCGGATATGTATGAATTGCCACCCCGTTAGTTACGTGGACAAAGAACCTACCCGCCAACTCAGACCAGACCTTTCTTCCGTTCCTGTGTTAGTGTCGATAAATGCGATACAAGATAGGTCTTTTATCCTATGCTCTGAACGAAGTCGATTATTGTAGATCTCTCCTGAGATGAATTCACCAAGTGGATGCGGCATGCGGTCTGCAGAGATAAGGTGTCTGTTACAGGATCTGCTGCTAGGAGTACTCACACTGAATGTTCAGGAAGTATGATTCATTCTTCAGATGTTCAATGTCGAAGATGCATTGCATCGACGGGGCTTTGTCCTTCCCGTACGGCGGTACTTAACAATGCAAGTGAGATATGGATTGACGCAAAGACATGCGGGAATTCTAACGCTGTTTTGGATCTCCAAAGAAACATACCTTGATCATCACGTTCCGAAATTTGAAGAACACATGCTGTGAGAAATCCAGTCATTTTTGCATCTCGAGGTCAATTGCAACTAACCATATACTCGAAGACATTTATCTGAGAAGCCTCATCAACCACGAGGATCGTCAGCGGAACAAGGTCAAACATCCCATTTTGGTCCAATGCTGGATTTGAGAGCATGCTTAGTGTCGATAAGATAATGGTCGTTGCGCTGATGGTATTTTCTAGGTCCTTCGGATTATCCGGAAGTTCGTCTCCACGAAATAGTCTATTCTCTATCTCAGTGTAGAGGTGCTCGTGCCTATCCAATGAGAAATTAATGAGAATACATAGCAAAGGGAGAGACCCTCACTCACCATTCGACGTAAAATTCCTTGGATACGATGATCTTGAAGTCGACGCCAGACGATGCTAGTTTCTCTGCAATGTTCTTAACAGCGACATTCGAATGAGCTACAATCCATGTTGGTAACTTTTTCCGACCCCAGATCGCAGCCGCTGAGGAGATGGTCGACGTTTTACCGGTTCCAGGCGGGCCTCATGAAAGGTTCTATGTCAGCATATTATGCAGGCTCGTACAACATTGATAGCTCCTCACCATGCACTACAACAAGGGACCGGGCCGACACCATAGCTGATACCACCTTTCTCTGCGAATCGTTTAGCTTCCCAGTCAGTGGGTGTGCAATCGGGGCTACAGAAACATGATCCTCCCGGTCTTCCTGGTTTGGAAACCAGAGCATCCTCACGAATTTGGAATGCCTGAGATGACAATCGCCCTGTAAAGCACGAAGCAGAAGCTCATCACGAGCTTTCTCGGTATTCGTCCCTCCTTCTCTTCCTATGACTTTCACGCTTGCCACCTTTCCAGAAAAACCACCACGGACTTTGATTTCAGTCTGTTTTCCGCGCGACTTTTTCGGTGTTCCTCGGAACTGGCGGCCGTCAGATGTAGTCAAAATTACTGCCAGCTATTTCCACAAGATCAGAAAACGACTAAATTTGGGACATGAGTTACATGCCTGTGGACTCGCACGTATGCGTGTATTAAAACGAGAATTGTACAATTGCAGTCGGCCAATCTCACTATCCATTTTAGCTTCGGAGAAGTCGTTGGAGATCTCTGTGGGTTTGGCGCGCTGCAATATATCGGCCTCTGATAACAGGCGACCTAAACATGCGAGAACCTTCGCAATTGTCTCGATCACTATAATCTGAAGGAAAGGAAAGCGTAACTCACCTCCGGTTTCATCCATCGAGTCTCGATTGGCTTGATCATTTGCAAAAATTCCAGGTTCCTTTTGATAATACTGCATTCGAAACGTGAGTGTAAACGGAGGGAGGAAACAGGGCAAATCTTACATAGCAGAAACCCATGCTCGAAGGCAAACTTTCCGGATGGTTTCATGTTCTTCTTCGTCCAATCTGTCGTTCCAAAGACTGTCAACCTCAAAACCATCGACTTTCATGGACATTGTTTCACAGAGGAGTTTCGCCGGATGATAGGGATTGCCAGCAGTTTTCGAGCGAAAAGTAGACAGGTCGATAGCTTGAACGTGATACTTCAAGTGACAAAAGAGGCAGATCGAGAGTCGTGGCATATTGAACCCAGCGAGTACCGGCTGTTTTGCGGACATTAAAGCCCGAAAAGGTTTGTCCTTGGGCAAAATTCCATCATTATCCGAGAGTGAGATGATAGCGACCTCCTCAGGAGTCGCAATAGCAAGGTACTCCACGTCACTACCTACCCGTGATTGAACAATGGATATTCCCAGGCATTGTTCGTTCAGCAGGACTTCCGCTGCACTCCCTGCTTGTCGGCGGGAATGACGGTGAATTCGTATCTCCCGGCGCTCCTGGGGAAGAAAAGACTGCCTGAGGGTGTTCATGAGTGTATGAAGGTAGAAACGAGGCAAGCTACTGCGGGAAGAAGAGTCAAGCTGGGCGCTAATCATTCCACAAGGCAACCTCCACGACCTCTCTCATTGGTGAGCTTACAGCTGGGGAAAAACGTGGACTTACATACCTTAAGCTAATTCATTTCGAATAAGGTTGATACCGAATTTTGACAATTCAGGTTATGAACCATCATGATGTACGTTCCTTAGTATGAAGCAGGCCACCTTTTCAGGTGCAAAAGTTAACCTTTGAGATTCTCAAAAGAGGGGGCCTCAAACCTAGCTCATCTGCAACGAACGACACCAGCTGTAAGTCCTTGACGTGTGTCACCACAGCTGCCCTGCAATACTCCATTTTTACATATAACATGCGCTTTTAGCTTTGGTAAGTTCGTCAAACTAGGATATGCTGCCGACAGAACCTTGAAGCTATCTCACCGATCAATCCCCACAGCGCGGGAAATGATTTGGAGCGTAGCCGAAGAACTCCCTGAATCTAAGAGTCTTAACTCTTGTAGGCTGTATACAGTGTTAAAATAGCTGCTAAGAAATTCAGTATCCGCCCTCATAAAAGCAAGGCAAACCTCTGCGAAAAGTCATCAACAAAGATCCAAGTTGATATTAGAAGCCTAACCGGGCCGAAGCAAATACCGGAATACTCCGAAATCAACAACGAAATTTCAGGAAGGGCCATACGAGCAGACTCCTTCCCATTCTCTTTCATGGGGGGTAAAATGACTGCTTCACAGTCGGGGGATGGGGTAGTTTATCTTATCTTATCTTATCGGCTTATGTAATGTTTTAATCGCTCTGAACCTTAATTATTTTTTACCCCCCATTACAGAGACTGGCATAACTTGACACGCCCTGTTGGTTGTGTTTGGTTACAGCCTCCAGATAATGGTATGCACATGCTCAGAGGGCATGTTCAAGTTGGCTTGTTTTACAATACATGCTTAGAAGTGTGACAGACAATCAGTTATTTTATTATTTCTGTCCTTCACTGTGCGCCCAGCCCAATGTAGGAATAATCTACGGATCTGATCAACATCTACATCAGGTTGTTCTAAGTGCAGAACAGTACCACAGTCAGCTCTTCAGGAGAGGGCAGCTGACATTGGAAAACTATCTGTAGACCTAGAAGAGGCCCAGTGCAATCATTTTCGCACAACTCTTGGATGGGAGAAATGAGTGTTCGGTGAGCAAAGGGAGGCAAAAGGGAGGCCGTAACCAAACACAACCAACAGGGCGTGTCAAGTTATGCCAGTCTCTGTAATGGGGGGTAAAAAATAATTAAGGTTCAGAACAATTAAAACATTACATAAGCTGATAAGATAAGATAAACTACCCCATCCCCCGACTGCGAAGCAGTCGTTTTACCCCCCATGAAAGAGAATGGGAAGGAGTCTGCCATACGAGGCGATGTTAGCGATCTAAAAATCAAAATCTCGTTACTTGTGTGGAAGTAATGAAAAACCGATAGTCACATTCAAACGAAAGAAAACAAGTGTGACATTACCCAGCCTATGGCCCCATTGCTCAAAAATTCAACTTCGGTTAACAAGTAAAGAGAAGGGATGGAAAGAGTGGTAAGAAACGGTAAATTATCGTCTGCTTGTTAGTGCACCCTTGGAGATTTTGTGCGCAGCACCGAGATGGCTCTAGTAGAGAGATAAAAAAATATGGACGCATTGGGAATTGAACCCAACACCTCCCGCATATACAACATACATGCTAAGCAGGCGTGATAAACCAACTACACCATGTGCCCATACTGAGGCTATGCTCCATAAATTCTGTCGATAGACGTACCCGCACGCGAGGTGCCTAACAGACCTTCCTCTCGTTATTCCATGCCTATATGCCTCTAGAAAATCAACATGTCTTCAAATTTGAAGAACGAAGATTTGCGGCTCTACGTGGTGAGAAGCTTGACTTCTCCCTCCGCCGAGGCGCGGCAAGGGCTTCGCCGGCATTTGACCGGCATTTTACGAGTCTTCCGACCACCAACCATCTCCATTAAATCTCCATGTCATCCATCCATGGCGGGATTGTTGTTTTCCACAAGTAATTGATTCTCAAATCTAAAATCGATTTGAGTGCGCTATACCCCTCATATCCAATCTGCAACCATGCGACTAGATCGAGATTTATGGTAAATCATAAGAGTGCTTAGTCTATATTTTCTTGATACTTCAAATTTACCCTACATATTAGCGAAAGTGGGAAAGTACTGTTAGAAGGGTAATTTGGCAGCTGTCTCAAGTTAGGCCTCCCACAAGTGTCCTTCTCGGGACACATCGAAAAGCTTTTTGCATGAAAGCAAGGTATTGCCGATGACTGCCAACGAGACATCTTCGAATGCGTTCGGTTGGGAGCGTCTTTAACGCCTCTTGTTATATCCTTCCATTATTGCTTCGCCGTCTGTGCTAACTCAAGGCATTGCCCCAAAAACTACAAGCGACCAACAATCCCCACTTCCAACTCATCTGCGACCTTCTTTCGGACCACCCCTGTTATCTATAACCTAGGACGATGCGGAATTCCACTGCTTCGGACAAATCCTACAGTCTTTTCACATATTATTTGTTACGACATGCTACCTTTCTGTCTGAAGACTGAGGAGACTACTGCATTGTGTGGCAAGCAACTTGTGGTCGGTGACAATTCTCCGTGGAACCGTCCTTGTCAATGGTTGGGTCGTAGGAGGGGCCTGGTGCTACCAAATAATATGAAAGAGGCTTTAGCATCCGCGCGAAATGCGAGCTCCAGCCTTGACGGCATTCGGTGGATCGTGGGGACGTTCCTTCAGCATGGATCGCATTTTACAGTTTTTCTTCTGATGGAAATTAGCCATGTCGCCAATTTTCACACCCTTTAGACGTTTTTCTACCACAGGGCCGTCGCCCTTCCAGTTCGTTCTCTTCACGAACCTCTGTTGGCCAACCTCCAACACGATCATCAATCGTTGGCGGAGAACTCCCCCCTGGGCGTCTCCGTTTACTATGGGTGATCGGCATGTGCAAACGGTTTAGGACATGCAAATTGCATTTCTTAGTACATTCCTGTCACTTTCGCAGCTTGGTTTTTTTTTCTGTGGCTGACTGAATGTGTATTGTGAGGGCTGTAATTTTATTTTGCTCAAATTTTTGAAAGACGTGCTATAAACCAAATAACATTGGCAAGAATAGTGTTTTGTACAGACGTGACATGGCAATATCTCATGAGCGACAGATTCTGGCATGGTATAACTTCGTAATATCAATAATACATGTGATACCATCATACCATAGAAATTTCAAGTGCTCACAGGGATGGGAAGGTGTTGAAGTTATAATGTCGTGTTTCCAGAGGTTCTGGATGTGACAAGTTAAAACTCCGCATGCCTGTGCTCGGCAAATCAAGAAATGTGTTGAACTGCATACAGGAATAGTCCATTACTAAGTAGCCGCACCTTCCAGTTCTCAGCCGTACCCATTGCGCTCTTATTATCCCTATGCAGAGGTGCAAGAACCTTCGCGGTCACAAACTCCTCATCTGCCTCTAGAAACAATGTTTATGTTAGAGAACCATATTTATACCCTAGTTCACATTTATACCATCAATCCTATAGAGTTGAATTCCAGACGTCTTGTAATTTGGAAGGGATTGAAACAGTAAGAACGAACAGAACAAAGCAGAAGAGATGAATGACGCATTGGTGCCGTGGCGGACTTTAAAAAGGCACTGTGACCTTGGCCGTCACGACGATTTGCACATCGCAAATTTTTGACCTCTCTCCTCGGAGGAGACCCGAGGCAAGCTTGTCTGCACCTTTCTCCTTGAAGCTTTTAATGAAGCATCTATAGACATTTTTCTATACAATATCAAAATTTTGGGGTGTAAGAGTTACATAACGCAGCTACAGAAATTCATTTATCGAAAATTTGCATATCCCGGCCACCCATAGTATGCGACACCAGGTTCCCGAGCTCCTGTATACTATATTCATCAGCTTCTTGATGGTAGCGAATTTATCGTGTGTCTTGGGTTGAATTGGCTTCGGAACTAAATACGCCGGTGTCCTAGAATCACGTATTGAGCTGCGCAATCGTGCGGGGCCATTTTAGGGTTGAGGGCACGATAGGCATCTCACAAAGGATGCAGTCAATTCTCCGGAAGGGGTGTGCACCCAAGAGACATGCAACAGTTGGGCATGTGGAGAAAATAATATCCTTCTGCCGTAACTACTTCCGCTATCGTTGGCTTTTCTTCGCAGCACATCGTTGCCCGTACAAAGGCTGTCACGGTCATGAAAAGTTTTATACTAGAGGAACACATATAATGACACATACCAATAAATGTTGGATAATAATACCCACGTCGTTACGGATGTCCTACTATCTGACTCGGATATTCACGACTTTTATGATTCTGTTCCATGTGAGTTCCATCTCTTTGTCAGTTTGGAAACGCGGGCGATCATTAACAATGATCGCCGCCTTGAATCACTTACGTATGTACAAGCCCGTCGAATCCAACGCGTAAGCGACCTGAAATTAGTGCTTACGTCTGGCACTTCGCCGCTGTGCCCTATATGTTTGTTAAGTTTGGGGACCAGATCGAGGAATATGATGGGCGCTCTTAACATGGTCGTGGAGACGCGATGAGATGCCACACATCAAAACTTATCGGATCGTATGTCCCGATGAACTAAGAAATGATATTCCCTTGTGACTTTACAGAGGCAAATAGGCGCATCTGTGAGGAACTTGAAAGGCATTTTGACAGTTCATAGCGTCCTGATAAACTTACAGTCATTCTTCAGAAGATCTCATACTCACGAGGCTCTACTTCAATTGGATCAAGCCATATGAGATCCAAAATCCCTCACGGTGCATCTTGGTATACCATTCCTCCCAGGAGTTTACGGAAAGTATTAGTAGAGAGCCCGGAGAGCCCGCGACGAAACGGTCGTAAAAATGAAAATGAAATGTCATTGTGAGTCATTTTGTTCCTGGAGCGTGAGTTGTGCGGTCACTGCGAGTGACCGTACCACCGGGCCGGTCAATGTGCTTTGCTTACCAAAGGGCTTGTTATATTTGGCTACTGCTTCCGCCGACGAGACGCAAAGTCGAACCTTAATCTCTGCGGCATTCAAGGAGCGAATCTCATTTCAATGGGAGAATCACCTTGGTTGGAGGACATTTTCTTGTCGATGCACGCCTCTACTAACGAATGTGACCTCTGCTGTTGACTGCTAGTTGACTGATGCCGTCCTTTCAACCCTGAAGGTGAGCCGAGTTGGTAATCAAACTAAAATAGTACTTAGTTACTTCAGATTGCACGCGTGCTGAAGCGCTGGCGCCGATTCCTGAAGTCGTATGCTTTCATCAATTGATATTTTAGCTTCATGAATTCCTGATGATCACTGACGCTGGAATTTGTTCAATTTGTTCAGTACATGGTCAATTCCGCTCCCAGTGTTTCCCAGTGGCCATTCCAATTTCCAACGACAGCGAAGGCCAGACAACTCAAAGCCCCACGAACTCCGAGCCCGACCGACGGAAGAGAGTGTTACTCAAAAGCGAAGAGCTTCGTAAAAGACTCTCCTCCGCAGTGGAGTAATACTGATTCAAGGAACGACATTGTGCGTCTCGTCTAATATATTCATTAGCTTTATTACATAAAGGGAGCAGCTCGATTTCTGACAGTGTTCAGATGCATGAGAAGGGAAGAAAAGGGCCCAAAATGGTACAGAAAACGACTAAAGCCTCGTGCTTCAGTCATGCGGTCCTCACCATTGGCTGCTATTGGGTACGCACTCTATTATTACCATACAATCCCCCCTTATTGTTTCATATCCGTTGTATAAATAGACGATGATGATCTGGATCCTCCGAACTTCAACCTTGCGTCCCTGCGCAGTACGAGGCATTATCTACCGCGAAAATTCAAGCAAAATGAGAGATTAGTACAACTTGATATCGGTGCATGATGTGAAAATAGGCTCGGTTACAGGAAACGCCATTGGATTAAGTCGAGGACTGTAAGCAAAAGCGTCTATCTGTTGTTGATCTATTAATAGCGCCGCCGTATCGTTCGCGCCTACTCTGGATGGAGCGATAACAAACGTCCACATGTCCGCACCCCTAGAAGTCCTCACAAGGCGCAGTAATTTTCCATTACTTCCTTCTGTCCGTTTCTTAGACAGATTTTCTCATGAGTTCCTCCTCAATTTAGGCATCCCCAAAGCCAAGAATGGGCGTAGTCTCTACTGGTCCATTGCTGATGACAACGGACAGGATTTGTCTTCTCTCAAGCGTCGCGCCCAAAAGTCAGGTCAAATTTATGACTAAAGGGCCGCACAATCTTCAAATAATTGCCTTTGGACCGAACGCTTCCTTGGCCGTCAATTTAACCGATTCATTACAGCTATCAGGTACTGTTACATTTTTAGAATGGACCATTGTGAGCTTCTGATTAAAATGTGACCACCTCTGACTCGCTAATTGATAGTCAAGCGTCGTTGTCCGGTCAATTGAGCATTGAAAACGCTCATCTTTACTCCGCCCGATTCTTCCCTGCAGAGCCTACCTCCCAGTGCCCTTCCCCGGGTGATTTCGCTAGTCTTGATGCCCTTTACCCTCGTCATCACCAGACCAAAAGAGTTACATCTTTTCTCCATATTTCCCCTTCTGAGCGACCCACCGCATGTGTTAATTCTCGAAAAAGTTGTCAAAATGGACACGGCGACTTTATTCTATTGGACGACCTTATGTCTGCGACCGT